TAAAAATTCTACTAGATTGTATGTATATGATGGCATAATATTGGTTATGTATCAGTTAAGAAATGTTTTAAAATAAGTGAAAAAAGATGAGCAAACAACAAATTTTCTTCTTTTTTTAGTTCAATCAGTTAGTTGGCAGTAAATTTTTTGATAGAATAAGCGTAAACATATTTTTCGTCTTGCTATCTGCTCGGGCGCCAGTACTGAAAATTAAAAAAAATGAGAATATTACCACAGTATATATAAAGCAGGCTGTATTCAGTTGTATATGTTGGCAACATATTTGCTATTTCAGAGTTATCCATGTTGGGCATTCATGCCATGGCCCATTGGAGCATCAAAACCTTAAAATAAAGAAATATTTACAATTAAAATTAAATTGATTTCCAAAACTATTTGTCAATTTTAACCAATTTTAAAGGGAGACCATTAAAATTCATACCCAAATCTTTTAGAAACTTATCTGGATTTGTCAATCCCAATTAACTTATCTGGATGATTTGGAATCCCAATTAAAAGGCATTTCCTTGTATAATCGAACGGAGACCCAAAGACTATTTGAAAAATATTATTTTTTTAAAAATCTATTGAGCAAAATTTTTTCTTTAAAATTTATATAGCTAATTCAAACTTTGCCTGTTGTACTTGCCACTTTATCAATTCCTATTTAATTTTTCTTCTTCGTTTTCTGACCAACCTTAAATTTCTTATGCTTTTTCTTCTTCTGAAATTTAAATTTATGAACAGCATTATGATTTATGTTTGATAAGCTATTAAATGAATTTTGTTTTTGTTGCCTCTTATTCAAGAAGACGAAATCAATTTTCGATAAAAATAAAACAAAAAACAAAATTATAAAATCAATAACTTTAATCTTTTGAATAGCGAAAATATAATATTACAAATTATAATAAAAATACTAAAAAAATTAAAGGTTAAGGTGTAATAAAATTAGCAGGTGCTTTTTGAAAAAATTTTTCATTTTATAATCAAAAAAATTTAATATAAAAATTAACAAAACGATTGTACTTGGAATTTTTCGAAAAAAAAACCTTTAAATTAAAAGCAACAAAAATCAGTCATAATCAGTCGGATCCGACATAATGGCTTCGCTTCTTTTTAAAATAGAAAAAAAAAATAAACAGAAGTTTTACTTATAAAATTTTTAACAAACGCAGAACAAAGCAGAGTAAAGAAAAATTTCAACAAAAAAAAAATACAAAAAACGAATTAAAAAATTTCCAACTGAGTTAAAAGTGTTAAAGGCTTTATATAGGATTAAACAAAGAAAAACAAAAAAAAGACAAAAATAACAATAAAATTTTCGACTTTTTCATAAAACAAAATGAATTCAATTTTATAACTCTTTTTTTTTTCTAACAAAAAAAAAAATAATATTTTAATGGAATCACCGACACACAAAATTCACCGCCACTAAAAAATATTAATCTATGGGTGTGTTATATTTTACTTAACGGCAATTATCAATTCTCTGAAATGAAAAAAAAGCAAAAAAAAAGACAGTTAATTCCATTTTTTTTTTTAATTTTTAAAATTTCAATCAATTTAATTGAATGTGTGTGTATAAGGACGAAAAAGGCTACATACATAAAATTCGGAATCGTTTTATAAAAATATTAGTTTTAACTTAACAAAACCTAAAAAAAAAAACCCTGATAATTGAGGACATTAAAAAAAAAAAGGGAGAACTTTTTTAGATTTTTCCCTTTTTTTTTTTTTCTTGCTTCAAATGCAATATTTTTTGTCAGCCATAGAAAAAATAAAATTGTTAAAAATTTTATTGTTGATTAGTTGACAAAAAAAAAAATTTTTTTTAACAAAACTAAATCAAAAATAGATGCGTCCCGAAAGTTTTATTGGCAAAGCAATTTAAAATGGGGATAAAATGGAACTTATTTACAATTTGTAGAGTAAATTTGTTTAAAAAAGCTGTAATTATTGCAATTTAGATTTTTAGCTTTAGATTATAATTGCTATACACACCATTCAAACTACTCCCCGCTTTCGTTCCAGGCAGACAGTTTCCAATATTTTCAAGAATTTTCATAAAAACTGCGTTTCAGACACACATTTGTCATATTTTGAGGAATGTTAGTAAAAACTGCGTTCCAGACAGACATTTTTCCATATTTTAACGAATTTTCGTAAAAACAGCGTTCCAGACAGATATTTTTCCATATTTTAACGAATTTTCGTAAAAATTGCGTTCCAGACAGATTTTTCTCCATATTTTAACGAATTTTCGTAAAAACTGCGTTCCAGACAAACATTTTCCCATATTTTAACGAATTTTCATAACAACTGCGTTCCAGACAGACATTTTCCCATATTTTATGGAATTTTTGTAAAACCTGCGTTCCAGACAGATACTTTTCCATATTTCAACGGATTTTCGTAAAAACTGCGTTCCAGACGGACATTTTCGCATACTTTAACGAATTTTCGTAAAAACTGCGTTCCAGACAGACATTTTTCTCTATTTTAACGGATTTTCGTAAAAACTGCGTTCCAGACAGACATTTTCCCCAATTTTAACGAATTTTCGTAAAAACTGCGTTCCAGACAGACATTTTTCCATATTTTAACGGATTTTCATAAAAATGGCGTTCCAGACATACATTTTTTCATATTTTAACGAATTTTCATAAAAATTGTGTTTCAGACAAAAATTTTTCCATATTTTAACAAACTTTCTTAAAAATTATGTGCCAGACAGACAGTGTTCCATATTTTAATGGATTTTTGTAAAAACTGCGTTCTAGACAGACATTTTTCCATATTTTAGCGAATTTCACAAAATAGGTCCAGTGCATTCCTCTCCCATTATCAAAAAAACATGACAAATAATTCAATATTTTTGAATTTTGCATATAATTCAATTTCATAACTTTAAAAATTTTAAAGATAAAATTTATCCTTTTCTTAATAAATCTTTAATATGAGTACCTATATATTCAAAGAAAATTATCTCATTTTTCATTTACACTCTTAATGTGCATTCATATGAGTCATAATTTTTAATGGTCCCTTTTTATGTATCCAAAGTATTTTCTTAATGATCTCTTCAGAAAATCTTCAAGAGTAATGTTTTATGTAGTTGAATTTCTGTAAAAAAAAACTCATAAAATTCTTACTCCTTTCCTTTTTTAATTTTTTCCTGCTTATTTTTTTCTTTTTTGCATTAAAAGTAAGAGGTGCAATATAATAAATGAATTATATTTAAATCCTTTTTTTCATCCTCTCAAGGACCCTTACTTTAAAATTCAAGAAATGCTTTTTTTTTGTGAAAAACTTTAATGCAGTACACAAAATATTAAGTTGTTTGATAAAAAAAGAAAATAAAGCACCCTTAAGTAGCTTTAATTATTATTGATATTTTTTGTAATTTGTATAAGAGTTTCGTTTTTCTTCTTATTTCAAAGGTAATAAATTATTTAGTGAAACATTAAATGTATTAAATTATTAAGGAAATAGATCTTAAAATATTATTACATTTGTAATATTAATTACAGTACTATTGCGCGTCAAAATATAGTTTCAATGCTTTATTATGTTCGAAATTAATACTTTTGGTTCGAGCGCAAAGAAAATTGTATGATTGTGAGCAATGTTGTTCACTCATACCTACACTTGTATTACATCGTACTATAAATGGAACACTAATATGTTTGCACTTACTTATATTAATTTTTAAGTTAATTTCAGGGCAGACTCAATCACACCTTTTCAGTAATCAGACCTCATCCTCTAATACCTTCAAATTTGGACGAACAAGTATGACCAGTTCTTGCACCGGCCTTATAAAAGGAGTTGCTACTTCCGTCTGAGCGAGACCGTCAGCTTCCTGAATTCCTTCTACACCGTAATGATCTGGAACCGACATCAAATTTACCTTGTTTTACCTAGTTGAGGTAGAACAGACGAGAGGAACCCAAGGGCGACCCGATTTTTCGACAAAATAACGATCCTCCACCTGCTGAGGTTTCTGCTGAAACAGTCCGAAGAGCATAATTAAATATAGAATATGTTTCAGCCTGAAATATTGATGAATGGTGTAATCTCATCCGCGTAAGAAATCATAGGTCCATCCCATTTTTTCACTCTCCTTGGTTGATCTCCCTATCTAAATTCAACTATACCAAACAATTACTTAAACGATTCACTTTTTACCAATAATGTTTTTATATAAATACACGTATGTATGTGTGTATGTACATATAATGCACAATATATTCTTAACATGTGATCAAATTACAATTTTAACAAAAACTTTTCCCTTTTTTTCTTAAGAAGCAAAAAAAAAAGCAATTCAGTACATTTTTATGTTTACAAGTTTTTCATTCCATTAAAAGTTTTAACAAGCGCATCTTATTAGTACACCAAGTTTTTTTAACTTTTAAAATAAACTAACAAGAGTTTGTGAGAGAAGCAATGAGCAAAATTTAAAAAAAAAGTTTTTAATTTTTAACATGAGCAAAAAAGTAGAAAGAATTTGCAGTTTTGTTATAATTATGAACCAGGAACATTTTTTGAAAAATTAAGTATTAAATTATTTTCAAATTTGAAGGCAATTATGCCTTCATATTAATGAAAGCATCAAAATAAGCGGAGATATTCGTAAGAAAACCTTTTCACCCTCCAGCTTCCAAAGTCTTTTTTAAGAATATCCGTCTGTCTCTTGCCGAAACGAAGTTATACTAGTAACTGAAGCGCAATCATAAAACCAGAAAAAATTAATTTTAATCACCAGTGTTTCGAAACCACTAAAGCTTTTAGCGTGACTTCTCTGTACTTCTCATTATTCTCTTAATTAAGCAAACGATTAAAAACCAAAATAACAATTTGAACCAAAATGCATATCAAATTACCTGAGCAATAATTAAAAATTATACTCAATTGTGTCTCTCATAATTTTCACATTATAATATACCCACAATACCCACAAAACTAATTCTCCTTACCTTTCTTTTTAATTTCAGAAATCAAACTGCTCAGCAACACAATAACAAATTTAATTAACATATGCAAAGCAGTATACAGCTCTACATTTACTCCATATTTTTTATCTCTCTCATAGTCTCATCTTAAGGTAAGTTTGCACAAAACGTAAATGTAAATAAAAGCTGTAGCGAGTAAATCTCTCAATATACAATATGAGCATAAATGCAATTTTTTATTCTCCAATTAACATAAAAAATGTTTAATTTACTTCTTAGAAGTCAAGCTATAAGAGAAAGAAAATCACTTGCTCTCAACATAATTTATGTATTTTGTGTTTAATTTAAAATAATTGTGTTTAATTGCTGTAAAATAATACAGAATTAATTAAAATTAAATTATAGCATAAAATTATAACTAATTCGATAATTTTGTAAAATGATTTCAAAAGTAGAAATTATACTTCTATACCATTGCATGATAATTTGAGTGTAGCTTAAAGAAAATGGGAAAAATATTTAAAAAATTTATAAATTTCAATAAAAAAAATAATAATGGAAACTAATTTTTTGTATATAGCGGTAATTAGAAGAAAAAGCAACAATTTTGGAATTCAATAATGCCAAAGGTTATTAAAAATCATTGTTATACCCTACACCATAGTGAATAGTATATCAGACTGTAAATTTGTAGACTACTAGGTAGAGATATGGGAAAAGGAACACCTCCACTTATACAATCCCGGTCTCAAGTAAATACCTGGAGATATCTTTTAGGGAGTTGGATGCGAGTTCCAAAACACTGTTGAGGTCTTCTTACGAACAGAGGAAGAAGGCTACACATGGACTATGTATAGTCGATATGAGGACAATGCCCGGTGAAAAAGCTAATAATAGCATGAACTAGTTTTCGATCCATCCCGGAAAGTTCTGAGAAAAATTTCCTTAAGCGGGATGAAAAGAATATCTCCGCACGAAGACATCTTTCGAAAGCCACCGAAGGTTTGAAATCTCCTCAACAGTCCCGCGGCCGAACGAAAGTTATCTCAGCTAACATCCGCGCCAACTCAAAAACTCAAAAAATTAACTACCCTGTCTCTATACACGTTGAACAGGAAACACCAGTTTGTACGCACAATCAAAGTTATACGGTGTGAGGCAGACGTCTGAGATGGCTATCCCGAAAACAGGCTCATAGATTAATCATCCACTATTAATAGTACTTTTCTTCCATTTAATAGACTCAAAAAGAGTTAGAACAAAGACTTTCCTGCCCATTCGTTTGCACAAAGTACGCATTATGTTGCCATATTTTTTCTATACAAAAATCTGTGGCTTTCTTAAAATACTTTGATTTACATTTTTATATTTCTTATGAATTTTATTATTCCACCTTAACCATATTTTTAAGAGACCTTTATATTCGAAAGAAATCTTCTGCCAATTATGAGAAATTAAAAAAACAATTTTATAACTTTTTGTATTTAGATAAGAACACCGTCATAATAAAATACTTACAGTCTTTTAATTTTCGAAATTAATAGAATAATATTTTGGTTTAATAAATTTGATCCTTTCGTCCAAAAATGATAAATCCAATAAAACAATTTTTGATTAATATTAAATGAAATTTTTGGAACTTTATTATTAATCCTAAAATCTAAAACAGTTTTATGATGCAAAATCTCATTTTCATATTATAAGGGATTTAAACAATTTTGGATTATTTAGAGAACAATACTGAATTCCAAGAATTAAGCAAATTTTAATCGTTTCACAAAATTTTTATTGCACCAAGGGCTTTTTTATATTTCTCATATTACAATTTTAATTAATTTTCTTTAAAACAACAAACAGGCATTTGATTAGTTCAATAAAATCAAGAAAATATTCTCATTCTGACCTTGAATCTTAAAATTTTGTATATTTAATACTAAAATCTTTATATACAAATCACAATAATTGTACCTACCTATACTTGAGTCTTAAGATCTTTAAACATCTCAATTATTCATTCAATCCAAATTATTTATGCGTAAAGGGTCGTAGCAAGTGAAGTGTCCTTATATCTTTTACTTATAACTAGTTTATTGCTAATACAAAGTCACTTACTCCAAATATAAAATATTTATTTTGAAAAAAAGTATAATTTATATCCTTTTTCCTTATTATATCCTTATTCAAAATACTAAACAATAAAATATTTCATCACTTCATTAGTTATGCTTCTATATTGAAAAAGAAAATTGATCAGTATTAATTTTGTGTATACAAATTGTGAATGCATCACAGGGGTCAACTATACTTTTACAAATTTTCACAATATTTTACTAAATAATACAATTATGTGTTCTGTGTATGAACAGAGTTGTCATCTCAATGAACTTCATTATATTATATTATTGAAAATCTGTAAACAAGAGACTTTGTATAATATTTCTGTACTAAGGTAATTTGGTGAAAAAATTTTCAAAAATAAAATTAGAGAAAATGTACTTATTGGCTGCATTAAGGCCATCCATTATCCATGATCTAAGAATATATCCTTGCAACTGAATGTAATTTTAGTAGATTTTTGTAATTTTGGTAGCTGAATGTAGTCGAAAATGTTTAACGAATACTTATATGTCACTCGGACGGCATTGTACGAAGAAAATTTTTCTTCTTCACAAACAACCAAAGTTTTTTTTCCCGATATTCGTTTTTTAAACACTTTAAGTTTCATATTTCCTTCTGAGTTCAGTGAGTCAGAATTTCCATTCAATCATTTTTTTAAATTAACAAACAAGAACACTCAAAAATGCCTTCCTGAAGCATACTTATAAAATTAAATATCTTTGACTGAAGTTAATAAGATCTTCAGAAAACTATTTTAATTAAAAATCTTAAAAATGTAAAATGAGCCCTTTTATAAACCACTAATTTTACCCTTAACTCAAATTAAAATTAGTTGAAGAGAACAAAAAACAAAAACAATATTCATCAGAATTTTTTCGGCAACTATGTAAAGTAAATTTCATACTTTTGTAACATAGTCAAAATACGTGCAATATTGATATTAAACACTGAAAAAAAAAAAATACACTGAAATTTCAAAACCAAAAACAGCAATAAAATCTTTTCAAGATAAAAGCAGAAACAAAAACAAATTGAACTTTAATTTCATACTTCATGCAGCGAATTTTTTAAATTGTTTTTGAAACAAAATGCCGACATGAATTCTTTATTTTTCATAAAATATTTTTAAACAAATTTTAATTTTTTTGAAAAATATCAAAAAAATATCAAAATATTTTGTAGGCATCTCTATTAAGGTGCACACATATTTGAGTTGTTTGTATTGAGTATGAAAGCACAGTAATATTATGTAATTTTATTTTAGAGACTACAGTTTTTCTGAAAGTGAAAATCTGAACTAAAAAATTTTGAAAAGAAAACTGAAGATTTCTGGGATACAGCAGTGTTCCGACTTTTTTCTTGTTGCTGTCACTCCAATTCAACTGCTTGCACTCAATAGCATAGAGTTATCCACATAACCTCTTCAGCCAGCTTAATTGCTCGCCAATACTCTTACATATGCCCGTGTTCTGCCATTAACTCTAATTTCTTTTTCAATATTCTACGTCATTCCGCTCAAAGTATTTCCACTTTGCACTTCCCCTGTTCAAATTATAGTGCCTGCCCGACTATCACTTCTGATTCTCTTCGAAGAGTATTACCGGCAGGCATAACTTTTTGAAACTTACAAATTCGACCAATGTTGTATTTAGCTTGAAAATGGGAGTGACCGAACACTGAACTGTTTTTATATGAAGGCGCGTTTTTTCAGAGTTTTCCATTCTAGGACTGTAATAAAACAGAAATAATGCCTTGTAACTATATTTATAATTATTGCTAACACATAATCATTTTCAGATACACTGTAATTCTATCAATAATTTTAAAAGGATTGCATAAAATACATATTCTAGTTACATTATGCCTAGGTCCACCGCTCCTCGATTAGTAAATGTGTCATTTTGCTACCATAACCCGATTATCACTAGCTGTCATTAAGCGTCCAGAATCCACTATACTTCATTAAAAAATTCAGATACGTAGCATTCTATGGGTTAAACCTGAATGATATTCCAAAAGATTAATAAAAATTCACTGTATACACGAGTTACTTCGGCTAGTTTAATTATCTAAAGTTTTAGTTGAAGAAACTTTTTTATTTTTGAATAATTAACGTGTCAATAAGGTACAGCTCACTCTTTCACTCCTCGTATAAATAACAACATTTAATTAATATAATCATGGTTTAAATTACACTTTAGTTAAGGATCATATAATTTCATCAACTTAATAAAAATCAATTTACTTTTTTAAATACACACATATATAAAAAATTTAAATAATAAATTTAATAACCAAAATTAAATAGGTATTTAAAATTTTAAGGTTAACACAAAAAATATATGTAGTCAAAAATATAATTTTAAGGGTAATAAAAAAAATCTACAAGTTGCAAATTTCTCTTAAATACAAAAATTTTACACCATACACACACACACATAACTTATATCTAGATAAAATTTTCATTTTTTATTTGTACGAGATGACAATCTTTAATTTTTACGATGTCATCATTAAATTGTCCATGGGAGCATTATATATCTATTATTTATAATGAAAACAACAACAACAAAATAATAATTTTATTTAAAAAAAATATTCTTTTATCACCCATCCAAATCACCTAAATGTTGCTCTCTCTCTCTCTCTCTCTAGATATACATAGGAGTCAGCAAAATTTTTCCTTAATACTCCATTTTATTATCTATTCAGTGTTGAACAGAATATCGTTTTATGTGTGTAACCATACTATATATATACGATCTTATTTTGTATAGATGGCGTTATACACAATGTAATTTCTTAAATTTCATAGTCATCATCACTTGATATAGTTAGTGGTGGTAGAATAGAATTTTCTATTAAAAATGTATTTATAATTTTCACTCAAATATTTTTTTTTTTATTTTCTTATTCTGATTTTTTTTTCTCTAAAAATAATTTACAATTTTCATAAATTTTCTCTTGACTTTTGCATAATATCCAAGTATCATTTATACAACAAATTCTTCGTATATCAGCATATATAGTGCTTTAAAGAAATTTACTTTATGTTGTAAGGAACCATTTGTATTCGAATAAAACGAGACGATTTTAATTGAGGAGTTTTTGTAATATGATTTGGTGTAAAGAATAAGAACTCCAATAGATGCATTATG